AAAAATCACAGCATTCCGACAGATGCTGCTAGATCTGCCGAGTTTCTCCAGCAATTTGTTTTTGTCGCAGATTTTTTAATGAGTAAAATGAATACATTTGACCCATAGCGCACCCTGTGCATTTTAGCTGTGTGCCAATCTTCTGTCTTTGAAAATTTGTACATTATTTAATTATAATTGATCAGCCGTTAAAGGGCTCAACTGAACCTGCCTCCATCACCCTTCCAGGCAGGACATTTCAGATCCTAATTACTGGCTGTGAGAAAAAATACTTTCTCACCTCACACTATGCTTCTTTTGCAAAACACTTTAAATCTGCCTCCTTTAGTTCTTGATCCTCTTAAGAATGGGCAGCTCTTCCCTATCAGGCCCTTCATGATTTTGGAACCTTCCATCAGATCTCCTCTTAGACTTCTTCTCTGCAACGAAAATGGTCCAAACTTCTCCAATCTATCTTCATGACTGAAAATTCTCATCCCTGGAACGATACTGGTCAACATCTTCTTCACTCTTTTTGATGTTTTCATATCATTCCTGAAGTGTGGTGTCTAGAATTGTGCACAACTCTCAAGCTGAGATCTAACCAGCGTCCAACATAGTTTTGGCATTACCTCCCTGCTCTTGTACTCTGTGACCTTGTTAATGAAGCCCAGAATACCGTGTGCTTTGTTACACTAAATTATTTGCACTCAACGTAACATTATATTCAACTATATATTCAAATTAAATTTCTATGTCCTTCCATGCCTATCAGTCCCTCCCTATCATTTTCTCCAGCCTGACAGCCCTTTGAGAACTCTACAATCCTTTAATTCTGACCTCTTGAGCATGTCTGATTTTAATTGTTATACCATTGGTGGGCATGCCTTCACCTTTCCATGTGCTAAGCTATGGAATTCCCTCCCTAAGTCTCTCCAATTCTCTGCTGTACTTTGAGATCCTCCTTATGAAACCATATCTGTGGTTGTTTTCCCTAACAGCACGTGACCTAGCATCTACTTTTATTGTACAATACCCCTATGATGCATCTGTTGTTGACAGTCTTTTCTAAGTTTTGTGACATTCTAGGTCCATAAAGCAAGACTGATCTTGCACTGAGATAACAAGGTGTAGAGCTGGATGAACACAGCAGGCCAAGCAG